GATGCATATTGATTGTTTCTGCATACTGATGTTGTTTGTACTAGACATGCAACGATAATCGGTAAGGAGGACCGATAATCGGCAAGGTACGATAAAACTGATAAATTATCATTATCGTTGCATGTCTAGTACAAACAACATCAGTATGCAGAAACAATCAATATGCATCATGATATTAAAATGGATCGTAGCTGTCGATAAATACCACGACTTTACAAATGGTCTGATTCAACTAGGAGACTGTGATGAGACGCACTGTTTCAACAAGATCAGTTTCGAGACTGCTATTAGTTATTTGACGACAACAGGAAATCATGATGGGGGAACATAATCATGAGAATACTCAGGTAATCCGATCTGACTTTTAATTTTTCTGAACTATGCACAACAGCGTTGTTTTCACTCATCTATTAATTTAACCAACTTCTGGCGTTGCATTAATCTCCTTAAATTTCAGTTTTCTATCTATTCGCATAGAAAGTAGAGAGTAGTTAGTGTATAACACGTTGTTGTTAGACGTGAAAAGCTAGAATCTTTCGCAGTCATTGTAATTAAAGTTTCATTTTAATGCTATGCGAGGAGTGCACTTTTTGCTTCAGTGATTATAGATTACATAATTTTGATAATTTTTGGATTTTTGCGCCTGCTAAATTAAACTATGTCAGTTCTAAAAGTTCTTCGAAGTGCACAGTCTTTGGATATTCTGCTACGCACTACTTCTCATCTGCTCTCTAAGTCCCACGAATCTATACTTATTCTCTGTTGTTTTTCGTATTCTGTCTAAGAAATACTTCACAGAAAAAATGAAGTTTCGGTAAACGTTCTGTTGTCTTCTCTGGATCAGAGTAAACAACTCTATTGTGCAAATTTTGTGTACAGCTGAAGTGTATCGAATCAGCTAGAGTTGCCACTCATTCAGAGAGACTCATACGTTTGCGAGTGTACATTCTATATATCTTTCAGTTATTCCAAAAAGTAATGCATGAACGAAGTACAAAATAGCTCTTCACACAAATATTTCTCTTTCTCCTTTGCAGGTTCACTGTAGAATAAAAAATCCAAAAAGACGAGCTTAAAAACTTCCAGCTTCTTCTTCAAATACGAATTTTTCTTTTTAGTAGATGCATGTGTTCTGTACACGAATCTATACATATGCTTATTGCTTAATTCGTGTAACCGTTATGCATTGCATATGGAAGATTTAGTTTAACGACTTAAACAACATACCAGGTGCTTAGAGGCGTAGGCTAGAACTTCCTTCTTTTATCACACTAATGATTTTCTTTTCCATCACCACACATGATTTTTCTTACTGTTTGTTCCAATCCATCAAAAATCTTCTTTTCAAACTAAACCGAAATCGATAACTTTGCTAGACTACAAGGTTCTTTAACAAAAATAGTACGAATCTTTTACGGCCTAAACTCAGTTCGGGTAACCGAGGCTGGTTTTCACAAGGGTCAGATGAATATGGTGTTGCTAATACTTTGCTTTTATTTCAGATAAATGTCGATGAGCACCACGAGTGACTTTTATCAAAACATTATGACCACATTAATAATTCACAATTTTCTTAGTTTTTATCTGTTGTTTTTCGTGGTCTGTTTTCTTCTATGGTTCTAATTTAAATTGTTTTATTAATATTGTGTGCTCTTTTATCTTATTAGCATAATATTCCGGGACGTCAGTTTATTTATCAACTTATCTTTTTTTAGATCTACTGTTATATTTGTACGCGTATCCAGTAAACTACAGATACGATTAAGATAAATATCTCTTTCACAAAAAATATTGGACTTACGTTTCCTTTTTTTTATGAGTAATTTTTTACACGTACACCAAATCTTGAGTAATGCATACAATGTTGCTGTGTCGAAAGAATAACCAGGCCAGTTATTATCTGAAAATGATAAGTGGGACCGACATTATCAATCAGCATCAAACGAAATGGACCTATGTAATAACAACAAATGAGTTACAAGAAGTACAACAACTAATGTCGAATAAATTGAAAAATGAACGGAAACGAACAATATATGACGATGCATGTTCACCTCGAGATTGGCTTCGGGTAAGAAGGGTAAATCTAAGTGATAGACAGTACGAATTCTTTAATCGAAAGAGATTGAACGGTCTGTATAGATCGTGTGCGCATTTAGTTAATTATTTCCAATTAAAAAATAATTTTTTCGTAAAAAGTCAGATTCGTCGTGCAAATGAAATGCAGTTTGCAGTTGAAAGAAGAAGAAAAATAACAATGTTTCATGAGAACGACGTCCGTAGTGTTATCGATTTCGGGTTTAGTTTGAAAAGATTTTTGATGAATTGGAACAAAAAATAAGAAAAATCATGTGTAGTGACGGAAAAGAAAATCATCAGTGTGATAAAAGAAGGAAGTTCTAGCCCGCGCCTTTAAACACCTGGTATGTTGTTTATGAGAAAAATGCTATCTTTGCCATATCTTGCTATTTTTTGCCTGTTTAATCGTGTAAGTTTATCTTTTATACGATTGACTTAGCACCGTCTTTCTCATCATTGTTCTCACCATGGGCTACCCTTGCTTCGTCATTTGTGGTCTTTTTCTCCTTTTGTAACGGTATTGCTACACAAATCAAGTTCAGTACAATCACAGCTCCACCCTATTTCAAAATGTCAGGAAATACTCCATTTCATCTGCAGCAGTAAAGTTCAATAAATGTTGAAAAAAGCAACAGAAAATACTTTGGTTTCTAGAAAGGTTTTCCAGAAATATTCGGAACTAAGAGGATATTTTTTAATGATTTTCGGTACAGAATCAGGATGAGCGGATAAGATAGAGTATTTCCTGATTGGATGGATTTTGACTGAGTTACGAAGTTTTTAGTTTTTGATGAAAACAGTCAAAAATGGGTTATTTCACCTAGTATATGTTTTCACTCGGTTGTTGCATTTTGTTCTGAAAATTAATATTCCCACGAGATTCAGCATAGTCGATAACCTATGTTTTCATTCATTTTTGACAGTCCCAAGCCGAACGGCAGAGGACTGCTGAGGCACGAAAAACGTCCAAAACACACGAATCATGGGTTTTCAAGATATCGCTTAGATCTACTGTAGAGGACACTTCGGACCACATATGCCCCTAA